TTCTTCTTCTTCTTCTTCTTCTTCTTCTTCTTCTTCTTCTTCTTCTTTTTTTTTTTTTTTTAATACAAACCAAAATGAGATGGCCCAGAGGTTAAGAGTACTGGCTGCTCTCTCTGAGAGAATCTAGGTGGCTCACAACCATTTGTAATCCCAAAGGCACTAGGCACTATTGGGGGTCAGGGCACATAAAGTTAAAACAAGAACAAGGAACAAGGTCTCTTTATAGCCCTGACTGGCCCAGAAGGCATAGAATCCATACATTGTTTTGCTGTTTTGTTTTTGAGACAGGGATCTCTCCAATCCTGGCTTCATTGGAACTCAACGAGGTAGACAAGGAACCAAGATCCACACACCTCTGCATTCTGACTGCTGAGAGTAAAAGCATGAGACACTACACCAGGCTCCCAAGAGATTAAAATATAGATTTGAAGGCCTAGGATTAAGAAAAAGAAAGGCATTTAGGACTAAAATAAGACACTTGTGGATGTGGCTCTCACAGGAGAGCCAAAGAGATGCTTTTTGATCAGCAGCTTCTGAATAGGGATCGTTTTAGAGTGAGAAGGAATAAAATTTGTTTGTCTCTGCTCTTTTGGTTGGTCTGTTGACCTTGAGGAGTCAGTTTTGCCCCATATATGCTCGACTGAAGGCCTCTGCCTCCAGAACCTGACCACTAGGAGGGCCTGGACTAGGAGGAAGTGCTCCTTCTTGGAAGAAGTAAACAGCCCCTTGGAGCTTGGCTAAACAGGGTCTTGCAGGTCAGTTTAGAGTGAGGTAACTGGATTTGGATTGCAGTGGCCTAATTGTGCAGTTCACTTTGCACGTAGCCTTGGCAGTGGCAAGTCTCCCACCTCCCCACCCCATCTCTCAGAGGCAGCGTTTAGTCTACAGAAGACGTACAGAAAATGGTTTTAAGAGGGTTGGCACAATCCGTGTGTTGTGCCAGGCATGGTGGGAGGGGCCATCTGTAGACTGGAGGAGGGCTGTGGATGCCATGCTAGGTTCATGTTGGCAGAACTGAGGGTTTTTATTTATTACGTTGATTTATTTGTTTTGTGTGTGTTCGCTACTTGTGGGAGCTGTTGGAGCTCTCCTACCATGTGGGTCCCAGATACTGAACTTACATTGCCAGGCTTGGCAGCAAACAGCTGCCACTGAACCATCTTGCCAGCCCTGTGTTCTCCCTTTGGGATAAGTTCTTAACTGTGTACCCAGACTGGCTTCAGTCTTACTTCTGCCTCAGCCTCCAGAGTGTTGGGATTATAGTGTGCACCTTTTTGGGCAGCTGAGGTGACTGTTGTTTTTGTTTTGTTTTGTTTTGTTTTTTTCTGAGACAGGGTTTTCCTGTGTAGCTCTGGCTGTCCCGGAACTTGCTCTGTAGATCAGTGTGGCTTTGAACTCACAAAGATCCACCTGCTTCTGCTGGGACTAAAGGCATCCACCACTACTGGCTGAGAGTTTTTTTTTTTTTTTTTTTAATTTTTTTTTTAAGATTTATTTATTTATTATGTATACAATGTTCTGACTGCGTGCACACCTGCATGTCAGCAGTAGGCACCAGATCTCATTAGGGATGGTTGTGAGCCACCATGTGGTTGCTGGGAATTGAACTCAGGACCTCTGGAAGAGCAGTCAGTGCGCTTAACCTCTGAGCCATCTCTCCAGCCCTTTTTAAATCGTTTTTAAAATATATTTTTATTTATTTTATGTATGTGAATGCTCTACCTGTATGCCATAAGAGGGCATCAGACCTCAGTATAGATGGTTATGAGCTACTATGTGCTTGCTGGGAATTGAACTCAGAACATCTGAAAGAGCAGGCAAGTGCTCTTAACTGCTGAGCCATCTCTCCAGCAGCGGAGAGCTGGCTGCTGGTGGTGCCATGGAGGATGGGCTAGGCATGGAAGACATGCTCTTGCAGATGTGTGAGGCTTGGGAGTGCCACTGTCCACTAGATTTTTCAGACTTTGTATTTATTCAGCCGCATTTTCTAAACAACTTAGCGCTTAGGCCATATAGCATGTCTAAATTGTGCTAGCTTTTCTGCCCTCTGGTGCTCACAGACTTATGTAGCTTTGCTTTGCTTTTAAGGCAGAATGATAGGGGTGTCATTCCAGTTCAGCAGGAGTCTCCTGAGACTGAGGTGAATACTTCGCTGGGGTTGGAGGGCGAATCTCTGGCTTGAGATCCTGTGA